AAAAAATAAATTAATATAATTCCTTCATCTTTTTCCTTTCTCTTTTTCTTCTTTTTTTCTTCCTCTTCTTTCTTCCTTGCGGGTCATTGAACCCTCTGCTGGGTTCGGTGGAACCCAAGCGGGGTTCCGTCGAACCCAGCAAATGGGTTCGGTATCGAACCCAGCAACTGGGTTTGGTGGAACCCAACAATTGGGTTCCACCAAACCCAGAACCCAGCTCCACTTTTTTTTGTTTTTTTTTTGGTTTATATGATTGTTTGCCGTGAGGGATTCTTGGGTAACTAGTTTCTTTTTCTGTTATATGATTGTTTGCCAAGAGATTTCCAAATTGCAGGTTGTTGTGAGAGATTTTTGGACTGTTGAGTTCAATGAATCGATTGGGTTCTGTCGAACTTCAATCTTGAAAATGGAAAGAAATGAATCGAGCTGGGTTCTGTCGAACTTCAATCTTGAAAATGGAAAGAAATGAATCGAGCTGGGTTCTGTCGAATTTCAATCTTGAAAATGGAAAGAACACCCTATCGAACTTCAATCTTAAAAATGGAAAAAACATCGGAAAATCTTGAAAATGGAAGAAACACCGGAAAAAATAGAAACAGTAATCGATGGCCAAAGGAGCAATTGTTAGTGGTGATGTGGGACCCATTGGATGGATTTGGTGCGTTTTTGCCAGGTAGCATGTGACATGGCAAAAGTTTTATGGCATGTCATCACTTTTTTAAGTTTTGCTTTCCACATCATCAAAAAAAATATAAAAAATGCTACCTAAGCAGGGTTAACGGCTCAAATTAACAGAAGGACTAATGGAGTGCATTTCGTATAGTTGAGGGATCAAAAAAGTGCAAAAAATTGTTGAGGGACCAAAAATGTTCATTTCTTAAAGTTGAGGGACAAAATTAAGCATTTAACCATTTGAAAACTATCTTACCAAGAACATGGTTTGATGACAACATTCTCTAGTAAAGCATCCATCTCAAAAAAAAAAAAATCTAGGTCACATGCGAGGCTCGTTGTAATGAGACGAACATTAAATATAAACAAATTGATGACTTCATGTTAAACAAAAAGGCTATTTTGCCATCAAAGATGAGTTAGAGGGTTCGTTTATGCGTGAATTGACTTAAGGGATTATTTTACTATTTCTCGACAAGTTGAGGGCTAATATACATGTTTTGCTGTCTAGATTTGAGGCTTGTACTCTACAACATGTCAAGAGGGAGGCCAATAAAGTTGCACATAAGTTGGGAAGGAGAGTAGCATGTCACATGTCATAGGCTAGAAGGCCCAAATTTAGGATTTGAGGTGTAGACACTTATCCATAGTTTTAGAATAGAATTCTTTAGAAGTATATAGTTTTAGGATATGAGAGAGTGTTAGATAGAGTTCTAAAGAATTGTATATATGAGATAATTTTTGGGAGAGTTCTAGAGCTCATATCCTAGCCATCCATGTGGAGCAATTTGGGCCTTCCATTGAGGAGGTGGAGGAGCAAACCTCACCTATAAATAGTATAAGTCGCATTTGCTCCATTAACCAATCAACAAAAAAGCATTGTTGTTGATGTTGTACCTATGATTTTGATGATTACAATTGAGTGACTAATTAATTTATTTAAGTGTGTAGTTAAATTGCCAATATACTGCAAAGTAAGCAAAATGAGATTGCATTAAAAAGGACTCAAAAGGTAAAAATATGTAGAGAGCCGGCTTAAGAAAATTGCAGCCAGCTTTAGGAAGCAAAAATGCAGAGAGCCGGCTGCAGATTTTGTTGAGCCGGCTCTACAGGCCAGAAATTCAATTGCTGTTTAGGCGCGCGCGCGAAAAATGGAAGTAGAGCCGCCTCCAACTTTGTAGTTGACTGTGAGGGTGCATTTAATGCGCAACGGTTGAGTTATTTGAAGATTATTTAATGTGTTTAAAGTTGGAATCCCAAAGCCGGCTCTAGGCTTTACAGCCGACTGTGGAAGAAAACAGAATGTGTAGGAATCTCGCAAAGCCAACTGCAGAAATGGTGAGCTGGCTGTGCAAAGCTGACTCTAGGAAGTTAAGCCGGCTCTCCTAACAATCCTGCAACTCGAGCTTTGCGTCCTGCAGGGCATTTAATGACCCCCAACGGCTAGAAACGGCTATTTTCGAGCAAAGGGCTATAAATATGGTTGGTAACAGATCTGAAGAAGTTTGGAGAACATTATATTGAATATCTTTACCTACTAACTTGTGCTTTAACTAGAGATTTTGATTTTTGAGAGATTTTTGTTGTAATTCTCTTCTTGTGCTATTAGTGAGTGATTTTGGGGGTGTGTTGATTCCTTCAAGAGTGATCTATAGAGAGGATCTTTGGGGTTTAAGTGTAAAGGGGTGAGATTTGAGAGAAACACCCTTCTTCATGTAA